GTCTAGATGGGAGCATATGTTGTTCTAGAACCTGAACATAGTTCTCTGCATTAATGGTGCCTTTCCAGACATGCAAGCTGCCCATGCCACAAGCGCTCATGCAACCCCATACCATCAGTGATGCAGGCTTCTGAACGGAGCGTTGATAACAACTTGGGCTATCCTTGTCCTCTCTGGTCCGGATGACATGGCGTCCCAGTGTTCCATAAAGAACTTCAAATCGTGACTCATCTGACCACAGAACAGTCTTCCATTTTGCCACACTCCATTTTAAATGACCCCTGGCCCAGTGCAAACGTCTGAGCTTGTGGAGCTTGCTTAGAAATGGCTTCCTCTTTGCACTGTAGAGTTTCAGCTGGCAACGGCGGATGGCACAGTGGATTGTGTTCACTGACAATGCTTTCTGGAAGTGTTCCTGAGCCCATTCTGTTATTTCCTTGACAGTGGCATTCCTGTTTGAGGTGCAGTGACGTTTAAGGGCCTGGAGATCACGAGCATCCAGTAGAGTTTTACGGCCTTGACCCTTACGCACAGCGATTGTTCCAGATTCTCTGAATCTTTTGATGATGTTATGCACGGTTGATGATGATAACTTAAAAGTCTTTGCTATTTTACGCTGGGTAACACCATTCTGGTATTGCTGCACTATCTTTCTGCGCAACAATGGTGGAATTGGTGATCCTCTTACCATCTTGGCTTCTGAGAGACACTGACACTCTGAGAAGCTCTTTTTATACCCAATCATGTTGTCAATTGACCTAATTAGTGTTAATTGGTCTTCCAACTCAATTTCCTTTTTCCAGCCACTTATTGCTACTTGTCCCAACTTTTTTGGGATTTGTTGACACTGTGAAATTTTGAATCAACATATTTTTCCTTTAAAATGTTACATTTACTCAGATTAAACTTTTGATCTGTCATCTATGTTATATTACGAATAAAATATTGACATTTGCCATCTCCACATCATTGCATTCAGTTTTTATTCATAATTTGTTTTGTGTCCCAACTTTTTGGGAATCCTGTTTGTAAATGAACAGCAACAGCGCAGTATTTTGCAATGAAACACTTCACCTCCAACCCTCTAGTGGGCGCCTCCTTCTGCTTTAATGGAGCTGACACAAAATGAGTCTGTGGCTTTGACCAGAGGGTCTCGCAGTAAAATCACACAACACAGCGATCTTTTCACAGATCAGAGAGCAGGTTTCTCTAAAGATGACAAACGCTTACTTTAACTTTCGATGGAAAAAAAACCCAAAAAAAACTTTTGATGGAGCACAGCGTTTTGCGCATGCGTCAAAATACGGCAACACTACGGCAAACCGGCTGTAGTTAGCTTGTAGCTTCGCTACTTAGCTCTCGAAGAAAATACTTTAACAGCACTTACTTTTTTTGTTGAAAACTGTGCGTAACTATTAAACTGACAACTCTGATTTTACATCAGACATAGCGTTACTGCGGTTAGCCGGTAGAAGTCAGAGCTCTATCGTAGGCTAAATTTCTATAGTTTCTACCATATACCGTTTATATCGCGCATTCCTAGTGCCAAGTCATAACAGAAGTCATCACAGGGCACTGTACAAACACATTCGCATTCATTACAAAAGTCAATTAGTAAAAGTTATCTATATGAATATAATTCAATTCAAAAATACTTTATTAATCCCAGAGGGAAATTATTTGTTGTTGTAACTCGTTATCCTCATTTCATTAAGAGATGTTATAGATGCTGATGCTGTAGACAGGAAGGATCTCTTGTAAAGGTCCATCTCACAGTGGATCCTAAGAAACTGGCTGCAGATGTCGTCCGATCCGTCCACCCAGACTCAGCTGGCCTCACAGTTCCCCCGGGCTGTAGGACCGCCTGAATGCAGAGCAGAACTCCTCCCAGAGTTATGGCCACTCCTCCCAGCAGTCTGCCGAGCTCATCGTCGCTGTGGACAGCCAACTGTAGGTGCTGAGGGACGATCCTGTCCTTCCGCTGTCATGAGCCGTGTTTCCTTCTAGTTCCAGGATTTCAGTGGTCAGGCACTCGAGCACAGCTGGCAGGTAGATGAGAATGCATCCACAGAACATCCTTTTCAACTCATTTGAAATTTGGGGCTCTAGTTGAGATATTATTTGAGCTTTTGAGATGTTAATCAGCTGCTGTTGTTGTAGAAAACTGCCTTGTTGCTATGGTTACGCATCATAACAAATGTCCAAAACTAAAAAAGTTTCAGTAAAAATCCTTCCAGCTGCTCAGCATCTGATACCAGAGGAAACAATCATCCAAAAAATGTGATTTACATCCAGAACAAGAGGAATTAAAGTTTCCAAAAGCAGAATCTCAGAATGAAAGTAACAGAGCTGCTCCAACATGCAGCCACCTGGAGCGGCACAATTCTAGAACATGCACATTAATTCATAATGACGTTTTAGTAACAAAAATTAGCCTATGATCTTGCTAACTGAACTTTAAATTGAACATTTTCTAACAGGTATGTCTTCAGAAATAGTATTTTTATCTCCTTTTGAAACTGGCAATTTTTCTGTACCATCTGCTAGGACCAGAAAATCCTTTCATAAGTTATCAGGGCAGGGCACTCATCTATTCTGGGATTTTTGTCAACGGTGGCAGTAGGTGGGGGGGGAAGGAGACACGACTGTGTTGCACGCTAGCTTAACACTACGTTAGTGCCGGGGGTTGGGGTGGAGTTTTGCGTGAGAGAAGTGTAGTGCTACGTCTGTAGCATTTTAGCTAGTGCATCTGTATTGCGTGCCGCTAGCTTAGAGCCATGTCAGTACCGGCAGTGAGAAGAGGGGGGCAGTTGTGGGTGAAGGACATTTCTGTAGGCAGGACGTTGACGGGGCAGGGTGACCTCCTTGGATAACAACAGGGAAAACACTGGAGAAGTAATTCTTAATGAGGTCACTCCAGACCAAACAGGCACTCACATTGACACAAGCTTGTTGCCAGGGCAGACAATAAATCATCAAATTTAACAAAGTAGATATAGAGATAAATCATAATATGTTATATTTTATAGAGATAGATCATTGTGAAGCTTTTGAGCTAGAGAATTTTACATTAATAGGGAAATATTGAAAAAAAAAAAAGCCTTATTCTCACTCATTCTGTCAGCATGGGTCACATGTGTTCATCACCCTTTGCCCTTCTCACATTTTATATATAAAACAGTGCTACCGGAGATGAATAGGATAAACAGTTTTAAATCTGCATGGTATGTGAACAGACTTTAATGCTCCTGGCTTTACTAGACATTTGGAGTTTCTAAGAATGATTTATAGCCAAGCCTTGCTGCAACCTGGATGGACTCATTCAGGTCATTCTGCAGGCCTCAAACAGCAAAGCACATAAAACAGACTGGAATGAAATAAACAGCTATCAACATTCTGTGCTAACTGAAACATACTGCTCACTATGAGTTAAATGACTGGAGCATGGTTACAGCACTTTGTCAGAAAAAATAGATTACAGCTAAATAATGTATCTGTATACTTTTATTAAATTGTTTTATACTTTGATCTGTGCCAACTTCACAGTCTGACACATGAATGAACTATGTGGTTTGCAAGTTGAAAAACGTGCATCAACAGTTCACGTAGAGGTAATTCAAGTTGAGCGAGAGCTGCCGCTGCAGGTTTCTGTGGAGAACATATCACGCCAGCTTGCATCAGGCCGTCCTAACCCTGCTAGAGATGGCCTGATCTTTCACAGCTTGCATCCTAGCCCGTGCCTCTCAGCGTGGGATTTCCTCTGCTGAGGAGTCAGACAAGTGGAGATCAAGAGCTTTCATGAATGGCACACATGAAGGACAAGGTTATTCTAGGACCTACTACTACAGCTTTAAAGTTTAACTTTACAAATATTACC